TTAATAATGTCGCTTAAATCATCAAAATACCGAATATTGGGAGGTAACGTTATATTGGGACCTACATCACTCACAATTTTATCGACCTAGGTGTGAGAATGGAGAATATTTGTCCGCTCCATCAAGCACTTCCACCACAAATGGTCAAAATTCTGAAGAATTACAACTCTCATAAAATGTGATGTAATAGTCCGATTGCCTTCAAATTTAACACTTCCCAATATTTATATAAACCCAAGGTCTGGTGTTAAGATGGACAATATCGGTCCACTTCTTTTGGTACCTTCCCCACAAAAGGTCGAAATTGTCGTCTGCTGCTTTCCCAAGATCATAACTTAACCTCCACCATGTTATTTGAGTTTGTAGTACACTTTTCATGAAAGGCTTCTCCCTTTGTACGCCATTTTTCGGTGGTTTTTTAAGCGAATTTACTCTCTTCGGTGTATAATATATTTTCCCAAAAAGTTAGACTCATTTGCATCTTTCAACAAAATTCAACCGCTTCCCTTGGTTCACTTTTGATATATATGACTTCTTGTGTGGGATCTGACATGAAGACCATTTTTGTGGAGCGCTTACTGGTTCGCTTGAGATCTGTGTTATGTTTTTTGTTGTTTTTACTGGCCTTGAAGTCAGATTGACTTTTATACCCTCTACAATACATAGTATGGAGGGTATATTAAGTTCAAAATTCCGTTTGTAACTCATCGAAATAATAATTTCCGATATAACAAAGTATCTACAGGGTGAAATGAAAAAACTGCAACCAACTTCAGACTGTTGTCATTTCTAAGCCACTTGTCCGACAGCTGGTAAAATTACTCCAGTGACAGCTCATTGTATTGTTTACAAGCGTATAAAAGCATTTTGCTGAGAATTTTCCAGAATGAGAATTTATTAGTGATGGAATTCAAGCGTGATAGTGCGATTTCTTTGTATTTGGGTGGAAAACCACAAGTGGCTATCGTTAGAGCACTCCAGCATTTAAATGTGAATAAATCTTTTGTGTCTCGTACCATCGCTCGTTAGCGACGTCAAGGATGTGGACGGAAGAAAACAGCAACATCAGGAGAAATGGTTCGAAAAGTAAAGAAGCGACCAGTGTTGCCGTTTTGGGCGTTTCCGTCCAAATTTGGGCGGAAAAAAGATAAATTTTGTGGTTTGGGCGGATTTTGGGCGGATTTTTTCCATATTGGCTATAAATTTATTTCTCATTGTTTATTTTTACGTAATTTAATTTTTTTATTGAGATGAATCGTTATTTTTTATAGATTTTTGTTAAGTTTTTTAATAATATATATAATACATTAGGCTATAGTCGTGCGGGGCCGGCCATGTGATACCCTACAACACTACAATATGTTAGAAGCTCTGTGCTTACCTATCTTCTCAGGCGTGTCGATTGGCTTCAATTGTATGATCAGGGAATTTTTTTCTGTTTTTGGTTCATTTAAACCCCTAAATATTTTGCAATCATATCCAAAAGCAAGAGACCCCTCTGTGTCTCCAAATTTAGACTCATCTATATGATTTGTTTGTCTACGATATTTGGCTATATTCGTCAACGAAATCAGCATAAAAAAGCCAGAAGTTGGCCTATTGTGTATCGCCTGTAAGTAATATTGGTATTTTCTCACACAAAAGTAGTGGTCCATTCTAATCGCTGTCCTAAACTCTAACTTCATGCGAGATTTCGTGTCCTTAGGTTTATATTTGGGACCTTTATAACGGCTGCAAATTCAGGAACATTTTGAGTTGCTGGTCCATTTCAACCCCTAAATATATTGCGGACATCTTTGAAAACAATAGGCTAAGCCCTTCTGAGCCTAACCCTACCTTTGTGAAAAATTTCGTGAGGATCGAACCTGTGTTGTAAAGTGAAAAAATTTTACAAAACAAATACTTCAATAGTATAAGTTAATTTGAAAAAATCGCATGCGATAAAAAATATGAAAAAATTAAAAAAAAAATCACAAAATACTACAAAGTCTATTTGAACATCATTATTGGTATTTATACTTTAATGCCACAGGGGAATTCTAAATTGACAAAATTTGTCAAAATCGCTCCAGCCATTCTGAAGATATAAACATTCTAGCTGACATCCCCTTCCTTTTTATATATATACATTGTACATTGTATATATATATACATTTGTATATATATACATTGTATATATTTCTCTATATATATCCGATATTTTTACTATCGGCAGCTTCGTCTATTTGTGATTTCGCCGGCAGTAAAAATATTCACGGATTAATGGAAAAATTGACTTTTATTTATCGCAAATGCTATGGTCTACTAAACCACTAAATATTACCCGATGACAAAATTGGAAGGTTTTTCCCCAGTCCAAAGCTCTAGCCCCATGCTAAATTTCGCTTCCATTGGTCTATAATTGTGACCTGTAGAGCAACTGCAAAATCAGGAAATTTTTCAGTTTTTAGTCAATTTCAACCCCTAAATAATATACAATCATCTCCAAAAGAAATAGGGTTCTATTCTGACCCCAGCTACATTCTAAATTTCGTAAAGATCGGGCCATAATTGCGACCTGTAGAGTGATTACAAATTAACATGGACAGTCGGACGGACGGACATACATAGCTAGATCGACTCAGCTCGGCGAGATAGGAAGATCCATATATGCTTTCCTATGTGGGAAACCAATATTTCGAGGTGTTACATCTTTTTTGGCCCAATCAAAGTTATAATACCCCCAACACATATCGTTGTAGGGTATAAAAACCTGAAGAATAATGACTTTAATGTATTTAGTACATTGAATTCTTGTATTATGTTACTTTTTCAAATATATATATAATATATATATAAAAAAACTTGAAGTACAATAACATAAAATTTTTATTTTCTCTAATGTATTTAATACATTGAATGCAATAAAACTTGAGTACCTTTTTTATGTATGGTGTAAAATTTTCAATAAAATTTACTTGAATACAAACTACATATTAATTATTCAACTTTTTACAGTTTGGGCGGATATAGTCGATTTTGGGCGGTTTTTAGAAAAAAATTGGGCTGAAATAAAAATTTCAAACGGCAACACTGGAAGCGACTTGATCGAAATACGCGTCGCAGGGGCCGAAAAATGGATGGTGAGCTGAACATATCGAAATATTTCACTGATGGTCATAACAGCCAAAGATCGCTCTCCGTTCGTATTAATGGACCGTGGCATCAGAATAGATGACGAATATTATCGCAAAAATATTTTGGAGGGTGTATTAAAGCCTTGGACACGCAAACTTTTTGGCCGCAGACCTTGAACATTCCAACAGGACTCAGCACGCGCCACCCAAAAATGGTTACAAAATAAGGTTCCAGGTGGCCACAAAAAATTTCGGATACCAATCCGTTGAACTATTGTGTCTGGAGTATTTTGGAAAGCAAGGTTGGCACTAAAAATACCAAAGTGTCGATCACCTCAAGCAAGCGCTTCGCCGGGAATGGGTCAAAATACCGCAGAGCAACATTCGGGCGGCGTGTGACGGTTTCATTGGCCGTTTGAAGGCCATAATTCGTGTCAAAGGTTATCAATTCGAACAAATCTAATCTTATTCTTAAATTTCACACTATTTTATTTATAAAAAAATTTAGAAACTATGGCGTTTGACTTTGTTGCAGTTTTTTTATTTCACCCCGGACATTTGAGTAAAATTTTATCAATCTACTTAATTTCGTTCGGAAGCTAGAGTGATTTCCACACACAGATAGATAGACGGACTATCGGACATATAATTATATATATATATTTCGAGGTGTTACAAACGGAATGACAAACTTAACATACCCTCCATAATATGGTGGAGGGTATAAAAAGATCTATTAAAGGCCCAAAGAGGGAATGAGAGAATTGACGAATAAGTATACATTTTTTGTTACACCCATAAGAGATTAAATCAAATATTATTCGACCCTTTGAAAATCTCAAACAGATTAGTTAGTTTTCCATCGATAAAACCTCTTAATTTATCCAAACAGAGTAATATTCAGCGGAATTTACGCATAGCCAAGCCGAGGAATAGATAATGCATGTCATATCACGTTATTGAGCTAATGTTCTTTCTTTTTTGTTTTCATACACAATTTATTATTTTTTTTTCATATCAAAAAGGCTGACTATTGGAAATGCAAAAATAACAGCAACAACACAACAAAAACGTAATTTATTAATAAAAATTATAGTTTAGTTAAGTGCTTGTGCAGGTTCTGGCAGGCAGGCTGGTTGGTTGGCTGGTTGACGCGAAGTGGGTTCATGTAGACATACGAATCGATTAAAAATATTTGCATATTACAAAAAACTACACAACATTTACACTATGCATAACATGGCGATTAAGCAGAAAAAAACGAAATTGCAAAGGCAGTGAATGCACTGAGAGAAGGTAGGTGTTTCAAGTGGCATATTTGAAGATCAACCCAGTGGGAAAATGGAAGGTATGGTAAACGAAGAGGTAATGCATAAACACTATGATTTATACATTCCAGAATTCATTATTGTTAACACGGTCCATGTCCTAGGAAAATAATGCATTCCTTTTGTTTGTCTAAGCGATTCGTAATATAATGCAATCTATATAATGCATTTTGGACAATCTTTTAAGTATGCATTATATAATTGATGTATCTCAATGCATTAAATAATTAATACTTTATCATTTGTTTTATAATTCATTCCCCCAGAATACATTAAAATTGTGTTCTTTTACTTTGAAATATAATAAAATAATTTATTAATAATAAACATAGTTTATATGCATTTTATATTTATATGTACGTATTCTTATAATACAAAAACATAAACAAACAAACTCATTGTGAATACATACAAAAACATAAAATATAATTCATTTTTGGATTATGTTTAAATAAATTCTTATTTCTCGCTACGTTTTTTGGCGAGATGTGTTTTCTTAAACTGCCTTAATTTTATCAAATGGAATGCCTTTTTCAACATCCTTCTTATATTCCTTCTCATCGTATCCTTCCCTCTTTGACACCTCTGCAATAAAAAACATATGTATTAATATGTATAATATATTCTAAAAGTATTTAATGTAGAAAATTTGAACAATTTTACTTACCATACATTAACTTATTTATATTTTCAAAGGACTTAAAAGCCATTTTTCCTTTTATTCCTTCAAAGTTATAGTTCATAATTAATTCTTCTACTCTACATAAGTTTTTTACAACTCCAGAAGGAATCAAGATTCTTTCCATGATAGGTATCTAGAAAAAAAGAATTTGTCGTTAATAACTATATTAGCATTTTTTAATATTATTCAATACTTACAAACGAAGGTAAGTCTTCCCCAATTTTTTAATATTAAACGCCTCCAATGTCGCTTTCAATACATTTTATAAACTTACGTCTTCACTGTCACACAAATGAAACGAAACTAAACAAATTTACAAATTTCAACAATAACGCGACATGAAGTCGCCCGAAAATAACGGGACACAAAAAAACAAGAAAAAAAACTATGAAACTACACATTCCATCATGTATAGATTCTGGAATATAGACGGTAATCAGTTTGCAGATTTCGTCAAATGAAATTACCATTTCGCTTCTATTGGGATGAATAATATAATGCATTCCATAACAATAATGTTATAATCATTTTTTGCTCAAATTGCATTCTTTTCTCGAATATTTTAGACAAATTCTGTAATGTAAATCATATAATGCAAGAAATTATTCATTATCAATGTAATGCATTCTCCATTTTCCCACTGGGAAGTTCTGACATATTTTTGGGCAAACAATATCATTATAAGAGAGAGAGAGAGAGAGAAAGAGGGAGAGAGAGAAAAACGGAGGAGAGAGAATTTACTCACCCGCATACATCTATTGCAAAAGTTAAAAAACACTTTCACATCAAAATCGAGACCATAATCCAAACATTAGTCGTAGGAATAAAGTCAAACCTATTTTTTGGTGGACAAGGAATGAGAGCGGAAAATTTTGGATTTAATTATTCATGCTTACAAAAAAAAAAAACACTCCAGACTCTCGTCTTGGTTTTTTCAGAAGCATTATGACATAGAATGGTTGAAGAAAACTATTGTCAAATGATACAATATCAGAAGTGCAAAGTCATCCAATGCGCTTGGTCCTGACGGAATCTCTATGGTAATGTTGAAGAAACTGGTATTTCACCAAACTCCTCAACCTATCATTAGCCACCCTAACAGTTCCCGATACCGATGGAAAATGGACAAGGTATTCCCAGAAGCTAGGCAAGAATGGCAGCAAAAGTGATTCTTACAGTTCGATATCACTCTTGACGCAGATACCAATTAAGACGCTTGAGGCATTACTCCTCCCCATCATAAATAGTGTTTCCCAGGATTTCTGAAATTGCATAACACAACAACAGTTTTACACGCAAATTTCTACACATGTCATGACCGTGTGACAGAAATGTTATGGTGACGCTGGATTTATCAAAAGTTTTTGATACGGTCAATCATGTCACGCTGTTCGAGGACATTGAACGCACCGCTCTCCGGCCAAATTTTAATCCTTGGATAGTACACTATATGTGTGGACGCCAGTCGAACCTGGAATCAGAAACAAAAAGTCGAACATAAGTAGTAGAGTGATACAAGGAGTTCTCCAAGATGGATTGATAGCTTCGGAACTGTTTAATCTCAACCTCCTGATGACATAGAAATAATAACGTACTGATAGGATTGTACGCTCGTGGAGTCCGAACCAATCATTGGTGAGATTTGCAATCGGTTAAAAGCTTACCTATTTGATCTAACCGCCCTTCTCACTGCAAGAAATATGAAAATATCCGCCACGAAATCAACGGCCACAGTTTTCACCGCATAGACTGTGGAGATGAGGCTATCTTTGAATATGCAGGTGAATGGTGATGTAATTCCGATCACCAAAAATCCCGAGGTCTTAGGGGTCACATTCGATAGCCTTTTCTTGTTGTCCGCGCATACCACAGCGATAATATTACAAGTAGAAACAAGGTTCTCAAGTTTCTGGCCGGCAACACTTGGGAAGCTGATTAGGAAAACCTTGTTGACCTCTTACAACGCGATAGGCCGGCCTGTAGTAAACTATGCGGCTCCGGTGTGGTCTGCCAAAGTTAGTGTTACGCAGTGGAAAAATATTCAATCCTGGCAGAGTGCCGTTCTTAGAACCGCAAAAGGATGCCTCCTCATGACACCTGTCGACCACCTACATGAGGAGGCGAAGGTCTTACCGATGCAACAGCATAATAAAATGCGGTCAATACTTGTATGGATGTTACAGACAGAGTCATCCAAATCACCATCTGGTGGATAAGGACTGAATGGTATTCATTCTAAAGCGGTTTCAGAAGTCATGGATGGATATAAAGTGAATAGCGTACTAGGAGACCATCCCCTTCCAATTGTAGCTGAAATGCGAGAGTTGCCCCGACAACCTTGAGTTGTTTTGGCACAGTTAAGATCCGGATGATGTGGCCGCCTCAATTCGCATTGGGCCAGGATTGACAGCGATGTGCAGCCCAGCATATGGCGCAGGTCCACAAGATACGCTGCTGCACCTATTTCGCTGCCCAGTCAAACCTATTCAACATTCTCTTTCGTTGTGGACCGAACCCGTACATGTTGCGTCCTTCTTGAGGCTGGACTGGAACCAGAACCCGATTGAGATGAATTAGAACGGTAGGAGTTGCTACACTAACAACAACAAAATATGAGATTTGCCTAAAAATTATAAGCGGTCATAGTTGAAGAATCGTGTCAGATAATCTCCCTGCTCAAAAAGTTATATTGGTGTCCTTACAAAAATTCGACGGACAGACATCGCTAAATCGCCATAAAATTTCATGCTGATCAAGAATATACTTTGTGTGGTCTTAAATGTATATTTCGAATGTTACAAACCGAATGGGAAACTAAATATACCCTCCATACTATGGTGGTGGGTATAGTAATTCTCCAATGCCTGCAGGTTGAGAGAATGTATTTACCCTCGTCACTCAGCCCCAAACCTTTATATCTTCATATTTTAATAGACCTATGAGAGTTAATGCATTTCAAGAAGTTGAAGTAGGAAAATATTCAGGCCTTTGAAGAATGCGATGAAATTGCTGAAATTTTCACGATAGCTACCCCATTGATATGTTGGAATTGCCAAAACCCTGGGCATGGATTTAGAGACTTCACTTCGGCCCAAGGGACAACATCACGTCAGGATACTCTAATTGTATGACGGGAAACGGGAGGGCGAACATGGTTGCAGAGGGAAATCATCGCTCCTCTGAAAATCCTCAATTCAGAATATTTAACCAAGTTTGACACAAGTTGGAACCCCACCATAGCTCCACAGTAGGCGGTACGTAGGTTAGGTTGAAAAGAGGGGCGAAACAATCACCCCATGTCCTGGTGGACATACTCTTAATCTAGTATAGGCCTGTTGTGCGCTCTAGACTAAAACGTTGTTGAAAGAAGACCGACAGTCTAAAGTCTATTATATTTGAAATTAGGTTGCCTTAACAAAATTCCTTAACTGTTTTATTTAATTTTCCATGATCTGATTTAGGTCTGGAATGGTGGCGTTCCCTAAAAATTGGTATCTGATATTTGCCAATCCTGGCCATTGACAGAGAAATTTGTTCCAATGTTTCTTCATCTTCCCCATATGCGCTACATATGCTATTATCTGTACATCCTATCTTATACAGATGAGCTTGTTGGCCCAGATGCCCTGTAAGGATGTCTGTTACCCCTCTTATCTCTTTCTTACCTAGTAATAAAAGATTCTTCGTTTTTATCTCATTTCGCCTTCATTGTTATATAGGGATATGTGGGTGTATTTGGCCCAATTCTTTAAGTCTAGACTTCGAAGTTTACTGTTGCTAATCCCCTGCCTGTTGTGGCGAGAGAGTTCGCTATCTCGTTATCTCTAATTCCCGCATGACCTGGTACCCATATAATGATCATTGAGCCGTGTTAGGAATAGTTGTAGATTAATTTTATACACTCCAATAGGGGTTTTTGAATTTACTGTTTTGTATGTTATATCTTTTATGGCGATTTTACTGTCTATTAGGACGTTTGCGGTGGCCGGCCTCCTGTTGACATTAAGCCAGTTCGGCCACTCTGCAATCGGCGGTACCTCCGCTTAAAGAATTGTATATGGTTCTTCAATAAAAAGTCCCAGTCTCGCTCTCCCACCCTAGCACTGAGCCGTCTGTATGTAACACAGCATAGTTACGCATGTTATTTATACCCTCAGCCATATGGCTAGGGAGGGTATATATCATTTGATACGTTAAAAACGTGCCAAGTCGAAATAACGGTTTTAGACCATAGGTCTCTTTGGACCAAATCCGTTTCACAACATTTGGAGTAGATCTAGCGATGTCCGTCAGTCTGTCTTGTTGGTGCGCACGACAACTCTACCTCCCCCACAAAAGGTCGAAATTTTCAAAGAAAATAATTTATTGCACAGAAAGAGAAAGGATATTCCGATTTTGCTACAACTTTGAAAATCCTAATATATGCGTCAGTGCTAGGTGAGGTGCGAAAATGGACAATATCGGTCCACTCCATCAAGTCCCTACCCCAAAGAGGGTCAACATTTTGAACAATTACAACTCTTATAAAATGTGATGTAAGAGTCCGATTGTCTTCTAATTTCACACATCCCAATATTTACGTTAACCCAAGGCCTGGTGCTAAGATGGAATATATCGGTCTACTCCTTCTGGTACCTCCCTCCCCCAGGTCAAAAATTAAAAAAAAAATAATAATAAATAAAAAAATAAACATTTTCTGCACAGAAAGGGTAGCAATCATCCAATTTTGCTCTAACTTTGCAAATCTTAATATTTGCGTCAGTTCTAGATCAGGTGCCAAAATGGATAATATCGGTCCACTCCAATAAGTGCCTCTCCCACAAAAGGTCACAATTTTGAATAATTATAGGTCTTATAAAATATGATTTAAGAGTCCGATTGTCTTCAAAGTTCACTTATCCTTGTATTTATATGAACCCAAGATCTGTTGTGAAGATGGTCCACTCCTTCTGGTACCTCACCCACAAAGGTATCAAAATTTTGAATGTCCATGAAGCTCATAAAACGCGATTACATTTAGACTTGGCACATCTGAATATTTCTATCAAAACAGGATCTGTTATAAAGACGTTCGAGATGGCCACAAAGGGTCAAAGATTTGAATAACCAAAACGTTTATAAAATCCGAAATAAGCATCTGGTTCTCTTCAAATTATACGCATCACGAATAAAGCGAAATAAGCATCCAACTCTCTTCAAATTTCGCATATCCAAATATTTTTCCTGACGCAAGATCTGTTGTGAAGATGAAATATATCTGCGAACCCCTTCTGGTACCTAACCCACAAAGAGTCATCACCAATATTTGTATTAGATGAAGTATGAAAATTGCTTCGGAACCTTCCCCATAAAGAGTCAACAAGTTGAATAATCATAACTCAAGGCTGAGGCTATACATCTGTTGGCAAAACCGATTGTATCATTTTAGCTTGTTCAGATTTGAATTCAAAAATAAAATTCGATATATTAGAAGATTTTGGTCATTCTTTTACGCTTCAAGCCAAGTGCTTCAACAAAATCCATTTCAACGATGGCCCAGAGAAAATCTTCAGTTTTCTCTAATTTCTTGACTTCTTTTCTCAATGAAAATCCCCAAGTAGGCCTTTAGTAAACGTTCTAACACATCTCTTCTAGTTTTT